GTTGTCAGACTGGCATTGTGCTGGATTGAGGCTGAGGCTGTAGCAGGAAGAAGCTTAAGGTCAATCTTTCTGTGTAGCTAGCTTTTTTTAGGGCAAAAAAAGGGCTTTGTGTCACTTGATATTGCTATTTAGCACCAATTGTCCTTCGTCTATAGACCTCTGGCTTACAGAAGAAGAGGACTGTAAGGCCTTTTAACTTTTTTCTCTGGAGGCAGTTGCCCCTGTAGATTTTACAGCCTACGTATCCTCTCACACAGCACTTGTTGGCCTTTTGGAAATTGGGTTTGAGCTCAAACTTGGTTTTCTTTGTAATGATAAGTAGGATGTGTAGTGTGGACTGTGGACTAGTAGCTAGTGGATGTCAGACTGGTGTATTGAGGCTGCTTGTTGGTCTTAGGGAAATGGCTACTAGATCTATTTTGGTTATGAAACTTTGGAATTATAGTTCAGATCTCCGTGTTTGCTGTATATCTTCTTTTTGGTGAAGGTAATGGCTTTTGTCCAGTTAATTTAGTACAGAAATTCTTCACTATCTCTGATCTTTAAAGCAGAGGCCACACTACCTCTAAAAATTTGGGTCTATTTTACTTTACGTAATTGGTGTATAATGATTAAAACTGGCTCCTTATAATTTGATTTAAACATATTTCTCATCCTTATAATCTACAAATTTGCCAACATATATGGGGCAGAAAAAGATATTTACAGATAAAATGATGCGTCACTCTATTTTTAGCAAACTTGCATTTTGAAAGATGGAAGTATCATTTATGTTTGTGATATCTTAATCCTCATTGAGACTTTCCTTCTCATCCTGACACTTTCATGACAATTCTTTTATGACTTTCTAGCTTTGAAATGGGCAAAAGTCAGTAAGTTTGTGTGGATTTTGCTTAATTCATGACATCTGGTTGATAGGGTAGAAAGAACAGGTATCTTTGAAAAAATAGTGAGAGGTACTGGACGATTGAAGCAAAATTGTTCTGAGATTATAAGGGTGGATATTGATGCCAATTTCAGTAGGATACGATAGAAATTGCTAACTTTAAGTAGCTGACATTTGGTTTGACATGGATGAAACAATCATTTTGGGAAAGTTCTGTTTGTTATTGCAATATGAGTGGACTATTAACAGCTTTAATGTAATTCAATACATTCTAGTCTATGTTTTAATTTAATGATTTTACTTGATCTCCTATACAAAAATTTGTGTCGCCCTGTCTCCTACCTAATGCATGTAAAGACTGTCTAATGTTTACCTTATGAACTCTTGCAGATCACTGCTATATGCCAAGAAGCTGGAATGCATGCAGTCCGCAAAAACAGATATGTTATTTTGCCAAAGGATTTCGAAAAGGGTTATCGATCCAATGTGAAGAAGCCTGATACAGACTTCGACTTCTACAAGTGATAATCCCAAGTGTAGCCAAGAACGATCATCTATTTTCATGGTTTTATATTGTTAAGAGACCTGTACGATATGGTTCTAAGAGTTATTTATTAATTGGGACCTACAGTTAACATTTTATTTAGAGTAATGACTTGAAACAATGTTAAACTTTCACTCACTTTTGTTTATCCTCTTTTTACTTGTATGTTGTGACTTGTAATCTTTATGTTTCGTTCTTTAAATGTTTTCTTACTCTCTTTATCCTCCTTCCCTGCACACCAACAATTCCCAACTTCTTGTATGAACTATATGCTCCAATCCTCCAACTGAAAGCTGTCTCTATGGTAGCCACCGACACTGTGACAGACTCCTATCTCATTCCAACATAGACTTACAATACTGATGTTCTGAGAATTTGTTGTTCCTTTCATGGAGATGTGAATTGTAATTAACTGTTTTCTGATTATTCGTACTTGATTGGAGTTGCCAAATTTTGTCTTTTTTTATTTTGTTGATATATCTAAAAAAAGGAGATAGAATGAAAGTGAAGAACTTGCATTGATGGGTAAGTACAAAAGTGAGCAAATCCAAATGCTTTGCTATATAAAACTATCCAGTTTCTGGCCTGTATGCAACAACTAGGGATGGATTTGATGAAAATTTTAAGATACAGCAGCCTGTACCTTGCTTGGTACAGACAAAAAGCGCGGAAAGAACATGTAGCTGTTTTGTAATGAACTTACTGTTGTTTTTTAAAGAACATATATCAGTTTTGTAAGGAACATCTAATTTTATGTTTTTTTTTGTATATATAAAGAACACCTGTAATATAAATAATGAACATGAAAATATTATGTAATGAACAGTATTTATATATATCTACCATAATTTTAAGACAAAATTCAATGAACATTTCACAATAAGCAATGAACATTATTTAATGAACATTTCACAATAAGCAATGAACATTATTTTCACTCTTTTTTGGTGCAAACATGTTATTTTTTACTTTAGGTATATGTTCTTTACATTATAATAGTATGTTCTTTTCTTTGCAGTTGTATGTTCTTTACATTTGTATAATATGTTCCTTTTGTGAAATGGTGGTACGATGCAAGGTACCCATGCCTGTAGGAACCACACACTGTTTGGATTTGATGCTTATGACAAAAGATCATCAACTACTCTGTAGAGGCTTAAGTTGAAACTATCAAACTAAGGGCTTGTTCATAAACTAAATAGAGCCGAAATGAATATTTTATGAGAGAAGAAAATTAGGAGTTGAAATTAAGCTGAAGTGAACATACCCTAAGTAACTCCCCTTGTCCAAAATACTTGTCTATGTTCTTAATACTGAATACTTCCTTCATTTTTTTATAGTCCCATTTTGACAGTCCGACTCAATTATCACACTCTCACAGTCATACTTTCGACCCAACCTGATAACCATGACAATAGCTTTTGCTTCGGCTATTTCAACAGGCCAACAGGCCTTAACTCTTCTGGTAGCAGCAAAGACCACCTTCCCTTCTGAATTGCGCGCAACTACCCCTAGCCCCCACCCATCCCTCTTCTGCTAGAGAGGCGTCGGTGTTAATCTTAATGGTTCCCTCAGCCCTCAGGGGGAGGAGACCAATTCGTAGGACTAGGCTGATGCATGACTTATTGGGGTTTGTAGATAGCATTGGAGTACTTATTTGTTTCCTCCACCCATCTCAGAACCAAGCAATCACAATGCTATTTGGAGTGCTCACATTCTGAAAGACATTTAAGTTTCATTCCTGCCACAAATACCACATTAAATATACTCCACGCACCACCATTTCAGTCTGCAATCCTTTCCAATTATCAAATACGTCACAGGCCCCTTCAAACTGTTCATGTTTAACCATTGCTGCACAATCCAAGTCATACCAAAGTTCCCTGACCCTAAAACAATAAAAGAAGCTAAGATATGCTTCCAGCTTTCAGTCTCAGTACTGCATTATGGACAGAGATCATAATCACTGTGATGGCGATATTTTAAGAGTGCACGGACAGCAGCATTTCAGTGCAGAAGCGCCATAAAAAATTGCGAGTTTTCAGGAATACATTCATCTTCCAAATATCTACCCATGCTCGGTGAAAGTCATCCAAGTTGCATCTTTGCCAATCATGTAAGCAGATTTGACGATATACAAACCACTGTTAGAGAAAGCCCATGAAATCTCATCTCGAGGAAGGCTCGAGTTAAGAGGAATGGCAAGTACCCAGCGAGTGTCTCTTTCATTAAAAAACTCCCGGAGTAGATCAAATTTCCACTCCATGTTGTCAAAGCAAATTAAATCACTCACTTTTGACAGCTCATTTGACGGGGTACTAGTCACAAAACGACCACTGTCATCAGCTAGCCAAGTGTCCGACCAAATATTTATATTATTACCATTGCCCACCCTCCAAATTATCCCTTCTTTCACCAAGGATTTCGAGCCCCAAATGCTTCTCCACGAGAAGCTACCACCATATCCAAAATTAAGTTATGAAAATAAACATTGTGACTAATTTAATGATATATTACACGATGTACAATAGCACTTATTATTTATTTTATAATTGTAAAAAATTAAGCAAAAGTATGTGAATAAACATAATATGCAAATACCTTTAAAAAAAAAAACACTTAATATGCAAATAATGTATAAATAAAAATTAAAAAAAAAATCCAAAACGAACTGAATATACTACATCCATTAATTATTATATGCAACAAAATATTTTTTATGTCTCACAAATAATACCATTTTGTTGCACATAATATTTAATGGAGGTTGTATATTTTTTGAAACAATATTCATAAGTAGGTTGTATATTTTTTGAAACAATAATATTCATAAGTATTTATAAATAAGTAAGTTGTATAAAAATTTGACATATAATGAAAATATATGAATAACTAGTTTTATGCCACGTGCGATGTCCGCGTTGTTTATTGAATTGTAAGATAAAATTTTAATCTATATATCAAATTTTAAAATATATCATTGATACAAATTAGTTAGAGAATTGATGTGCTTTTGTGACGATTTGTCATCTAATAGGCATGTAATGACTAATAATAATGTTGGTGGAAATGTTCGATTGAATACACTTAAAAAAAAAATAGCAAAAAATAAATTAAATGAAATAAATGTTCAAAGCCCGCTGGGTTGTCCGAAATTAAAACTATGGGCAAAAGTTGAACATTTCTTGACTCATAACTTGAAGTGACCCAATTCAAAATGACTCATTACCCAACCCTAATTGATGGGTCTACATAGTAATAAGATTCTATTAGATTGCGAAAGTACTCATTTTATTTTAGCCGATTCATTATAAATGGATGTTTAACACTTTGATTTATATTAGAATTATAATCTAATAATTTTTTTAAATAAAATTATAATTTAATTTGTATATCTGAAATATTGATATTTTATCAAAAATAAAACTTTAAACTAATCTATCCTAAATGGCGTGACACTTAAAAGTCAAACAATAAAACCATTTCTTCTGTCTACGATACCCAAAAAAAAAAAAAGTTTCACGTGTGATTTAAGCTACTTGTAAAAGTTGTTGCCCTGTTGGTCATATAAATTGGGCCTAAATTCACCCACCAATTCTCGAGAAATCGAATTTGCATTACACAACTCGGATCCTCCATAACCAAATTCATCTGGGGTTGCAATCTTCACTCTTTAATTCTAGTCAACCCCTTTTGTTTCTGCCTATCACCCACAAAATCTTCAGATCTCAACTTCACTTTCATCATTTTTTCAAGGTTTAATTTCAATCTTCTTTCTCCTTTTGTTCAAGTTATTGATTTTGTCATAAAAATCTGATTTTGGGGTTTTCTATTCAATTAAATTGATTTTCAATTGAAGCCCTGATCAGTTAGAAATTGAATTTGTCGGGGGTAATTTGTAATTGGGGTTTTTGCAATTGAAATTCTTTGCCAGCATAATTGGATCAGGGATTTTCAATTGAGTCCTTGATCATTAAGGCTTTGATTTTATTGGGGCTAGCTTTAGCTTGGGTATTTATTAATTAGGGTTCTTATTCTTGCAATTGAACAAGTAAATAATTGTTTTTTTTTAATCTTTGATTCGTTTTACAGGTTGAATATTTTGTGGAGATATATATTGTGTTTTGTTTATAGAAGTCTGTTTTAATGGCGTCAAAGAGAATCTTGAAGGAGCTTAAGGATCTGCAGAAGGATCCACCTACTTCATGCAGTGCAGGTGAAGATAATTTTGATGATCTCAGAAAAATTTAATTGAATTGGATTGATTGTAAAAATCTGGGCTTTTTTAAAAAAATTAAAAATTATTATTTTATCTATTAATTTTCGTTATTGGTTTTGACGTGTTGATGGTGGTGTTAGTGAGTTTTCTGACAATATAATTGGAGTTTCAGATTATTTTAAAATAAAAAGAAGAGAATGATTCCTTCTGAATTTTTTTTAGCTGTATCTATTATTCTTGCGAGCTATGTTGTTTGATGGGAAGGTCCCAATGATTTGATTTGTTGTTGTTTGCTTGTCTTTCCCTTGTCGCCCTCTTTGCTAGAATTGGGGTACCGTTTTTTGGTTGTTGCAGATACCTTATTTTTGTGTGGGAGCCTGTAGCCTGTGTACATAATTATCTTGAGACTGGGATCTATGATGGTAGGATTGATAGCTTCTGCGGATCGTAAAGTTTGATTTTTTGGCTCCCGATCGCCTGCCATTATGTGGTTTCTTTGGGTTATGAAAACTAGTACCAAAGAATTTATTTTTCTATGTATCACCTTTAGAGAGGATGGAGTATTGGGAACATATAGAACTTATAGATTTTTATCATTGAGGGTAGAAGTCAAAAGAGTTGAATTTTTTAAAGATGGAGGTTTAGGGCCTGTTCTCTTCAGCTTAATTCATTTCAGTTTAGCTCAGTTCAGTTCCTAATTTCCTTCTCTCATAAACAGCTCAGCTCAGTAAATCAGAACAGGCCCTTAGTTTGGTTATGGCTAATATGCTTCAATAGACATGGAATGTTATGGAGAGGATCGCTAAACTTCTGTCTAGTTCTATTGTCTTGCTGGTGTCAATGAGAGAGTTGCAGAGAATTGATCTGGGATGTGTTTGAAGAGAGATCTTAGAACTCCTTGATTCTGTGGTTATGTCCAATCAAAGAGTTTGTTTTGGTTTCTTTCAATTATTCTACCTTAATAGACAACATCAACTTAAATTTTCCTATGGAGATTTGAATTTATGTATCTTGAGCTTCAGTTTTAATGAGGTGTTAGTTTAGGCTACTTTGACTTCGTACTATGAAATAATTCGGGGTTTAACATGTACGGAGTATATAGGTCGGATTTCATTTCTTCACATCCACTTCTGTTGCTTTAGATGTTCTTGTGGATTATGATCAGTCTAATGGAACTAACTGTAGCTTGTGTTGTGTGAATCAAAATCATTTCTTATTACTATGTTGCTTGAAGATGGAGTGAGGAATTGCGTGGACTTTTTTTTTTAATTAATTTTTTTTTAAAAATAAATAAAGTCAATTTTACCTCATGTTCCAAGTATTAGGAAAGATCTCCAGTGTGATGGGTTTCTGTATCCAATATAGGAAATGTCCTTGTTGATTATTACCCTTTTTGTTCTGAAAGTATGCAACTATTCTATGCTTAAATATTCATTTGATGGCTGTGGACCTTTGATTTTGTATTTGTTTTGCACTTATCACTGATCTACTTGATCTCATGAGGTGCCTCAAATGCAATACCACAATGAATACTTGTCAGTTTTTTCCCTTTTTTATCGACTCACTTTTTTTTTCCTCTTAAATGTTATAGGGCCAGTTGGTGAAGACATGTTCCATTGGCAAGCAACAATAATGGGACCTTCCGAGAGCCCATATGCCGGAGGTGTATTCCTTGTTTCTATTCATTTTCCTCCAGATTATCCATTCAAGCCACCTAAGGTAAATTTGGGCTCCAATTTATAACCCTCTTCGTAGTGTTTGCTCTGCTACAATTAATTTTCTGGGGTTGCATGCTCACTTTCTGTAATGTAAATATGCAGTGGATCATAGCTCCATTTTTCTTGCTAAAATATAATATGCAGAAATTCAATGATATCCTGTTATGGCCTCTCTTACTTTCACCTTCTCTTTGCCTCCCATGAACTTTGGTGTTATAAATTTACTTAAATTTATCCCCTGCCCTTGGCTGGAGTCTGCTTAGAGGCATTGATATTGTTGATAAAAAAAAAGGGTGAAAAAGATGTTAATCTTATCATCTGAAGGCAGCGAATCTGATGGTGGATCTACATATATGACCTGTTGAGAAGATAGACAGGATGAGCCCTTTTTTTTTTTTTGGTTGTTTGGAAAGCTCCGTGCTGTATAGTCTTAGCATTAGAAGCTAAATAAATGCATCCTTGGTAGGTTTAGGTGCTGCCAAATGCCAGCCTTGTTGGGGTGTTTATTGAATGTTAATCTGGTGTCATAATGATATCTCTTGTGCACTAGGTGAATCAGTTTCCTATAGCAATTTCTGTTAGTCCTCCTCAGTGGATCAGTTTATGGGTTGCCAGCGAGAACGTGAATTATACCGCATACATGTGCTGTCTTCCCTCTTTCTCCGTGGTTAAGGATTTAATCCCATTTTTTTACTGAAAGATGGTCAGAACTGACCCTTGTATTGTTCTCAGCTGTATCATGTAAATTTTGTTGCAGTGGAATTTGACAATTTATTATGCTCAGCATGTTAAAGTGAGGAGTAAAAAAAAAACCTAGAGTCAAACTGATTTCTCTGGCTCTGCTGTATGCTTGTACATGTGTTTTGTCGGCAATGTTTATTTTGTACCGATGTTTTTGTGCTGAATGGTTTGGAGGTTTTCTTGAAATATTGAAAGAAATGATGATCAATAACATTAGATGAGATTTGGACTCACGTGAATTTTATGCCCAAGTCAGTGAATGATAAGCTATGCTAGTAAATCAAGGTTTAGAAGGTAGTATTGGAAGTTGGAACTATTACCTACACCAGTGACCTTGTTATGTACTTGGTTTGTTTACATCTATTATTAATAGAAATGCTGTTCAAATTAACCATTATTGGTCTGAAGGACTGTCTAAAGTGTGAAGCACCCGTTGCTTAAACATCAGTGTAGTGTAGACTTCTTGTCTTTTCAAGTATTTATCTTGCTGCTGCTATGATGTTCACTGTTATATGAAACTTTGATATCAAACTGATATTATTATTCAATTTTGATTTTCCTTCAGTATATGTATATGATTTGTTTCAATAATGCAGGTTGCATTCAAGACAAAGGTTTTCCATCCCAACATCAACAGTAATGGGAGTATATGTCTCGATATCCTGAAAGAACAATGGAGCCCAGCACTTACAATTTCCAAGGTCTGATTGATCTCTGCTTTAGGTGCTATTTGTGTTGAACTTAAATAATGATTGGTGTTGGGAGGTATTTGTTGATTATTGAGTCTAAACTAAAGCAAAAGTAAAAAGTATATACTGATAAATTGGATAATCGGATGTGAATTTGAAGAGGTAACTCGAACTTGGGATTAATTTTTAAGGAAACTGATCAGAAACCTGGGTTTATTTTAATTCCTTTCTATAATATTATGGCTGACCTAGAATGAAGAGTTTTAAGTTTTCCATTCTTGATAAAATTGATACTCAACCATCTTTCGTTTCCTTGTTACCCCGAATTATTTGCTATCATCAAGCATTGAGACATGTTTCCAACATTAAGTTAGGAACCTAATTAATGAATGTATAATATTAATCAGGTTATTTGTGAGACTAATTTAACTTGAAAATTTGCCAGGTTCTTTTGTCTATCTGTTCACTTTTGACTGATCCAAACCCAGATGATCCCCTCGTTCCAGAGATTGCACATATGTACAAGACAGATCGACCAAAATACGAGGCCACCTCCCGCAGTTGGACTCAGAAATATGCGATGGGTTAAATTGTGGCCTTAAAGAAGCTATCTCCATCCTTTTCATTTCCAAGCCTGAATTTGGGGTGAAAAGCATTTGGAGTTGTCTTTGTGAATACTATATAAGATTTACTGCATTATAACTACCTAGTTGCTTTCGTGAAATATGTATGTGTTAAACGTTATGTCCTAAGATGTTTGTGATTAACTGGATTATGTAGGTGTCATTAGTAGCAATTTAATGGCAGCCTAATGATCTTTTCATTTGCTGATGACAAATTTAAGGCAAATTCTTAAACTCTGGCAAACTAACCGTGCTGGGTGCCCTCGATGTCGTCACAGTAAATGGCTAAATGATCCCAACTTGATTATGATAATCGAACTCTTTGGACCCTCACCTTGGGTGTTGTCCATGAAAAAAGTTTCACTATTGATGCCGTGATGCAGGACTATTTTGGGAAAGCAAGACCGCAATGAGATTAAATCATCGATGTACATAAAATATAAGGGGGATGTTTTGACTATATTTTATAACTCTACATACTATCACAGCTTATCATATCCATTTTGGTTACAGAAATTCCACAGCCTAGGTCCAAGAGTGATCCTCTTTATTTGTATAACTTCTTTCTTATCTAAGCACAGCAACATTTGTATAGAAAGTGTCAATATAATTTGATACATTTTTGTACTACGTTTCACATTTTTTGCAACTTTGAAGAGTGCATGGACTCCTAAGCAAAATTTGTTTGTGAGTGTAAGATAAAGAGAGAAAAATAGGAATGCATGTGATGAGAAGAGAGATAGAGAGAATTGACAACCTAAAAAGGAAAGAAAACATTAATTGCAGATAATGTGTAGCATCCATTTTTAGTAAAAATTGCAAAAAAGATGTAACGGAAGTAGTAGTAAAATGTCTTATGTTTTTGTTCCATTCCAAAGGTCCAACCAAACCAATTCCATTGGTTGTACGAACTTGGAATGTGAACTTCATTTCACTTTCCAATCTCACTATTGTTTGCCTAAATTTCTTTTGTAATCCTCGTAATAATCATAAACGAGTGTAGCTCCATTTTGAAAAGATGGATGTTTGCACAAGAATAATATTATGTGTTAGAAACTAAATTGGCGTCTCATGGTAACATACATAGTTCTCATTATCCCATGGTAAAAGTGGTTTACAAAAGGCCAACATTAGACACTATACTACGTAGTATAATTGATATACTAATCGGATAGACAGAGAGAGCTGCAGCTATTCCTCTCCATAAGGATCGACATCAATATCAAGAGTGATGAAACTAACCATGCTGTATTCATCCACCAGATCAATTAAGGCTTTGTTCAACTTCTCAAACTGTGGAGCCATACGACGATTTAATTGTGACAGTAACATCTGTGGCTCAGGGATCAATAAATCGTCAAGGTCTTTCTTGTTCTTCACAAGGTCCATTCAAGCTAGACCATTACTGAGAGAGACGACAGCCAGCCACAAATAAATTTGGTAATATCTGTCATGAACTGTGAATCGAGAAAATACACTACACAAACATCGAAGCTCTTACGCTGCAAGTGCTCCACAAAGTTTTTAAGAACCAGAACATAAGAGAAGAGCTCAAAGGACAATCGAAAACCAAATAATCATCATCGAAGAAAACCAAACAATCTTCAAGTTCCTCAGTGCAGTAAATCAAACCCCCATTATGACCCAATCCTAGTTCTCCTATAACATCCTCCAAGTTAATAAGTTCCCTGATATCCACAGCAACAGGACAGTGTTCGACGCATGGTTTCACAGTGTTGATACAAACAAGAGCAGTAAGTTGATTTTCCACTTCCTGCAGGACCAAGGACTAATTGTGCATACCCCATCACAACTTTCTCAAGGCTTTCCTATCACCAGTGAGTAGCTAATCAAACCTACGCAGCATTCCAATTCACAGTAAACAAAATTGTGAGCATGGAAGCGAAAGGAGTAGGATACAAAGCAAAGGACACACAACAAATATGTAATTTGTATTAAATACAAGGGAGAAATCCCAGATTAGCATTAACATAGAGGAGGCAGAGCTGAAAGTAGCCTTAACTTTGGATTTCACTTTATCTCCAACAAATAATACGAGATTTTCTATGTAAGGAACAGGAACAAACAATAACTATGAGTTACAAATACCAGACTATAAGATCACCACCGGTCAATGATCACGCTAAGTAAATGAAATTTAATATATGTAGACAATCAACCCCTAAAGTAAGAAAACAAGCAGCAACAAATTCATACATTACGTAACCTGAAAAATGATTCAAACATGTTTTGATCAAACTCAGGCCTTCATGATTGAACTAGCATTTGGACATCTAGAGGGTTCATAATAGTACGGAGTAAATAAAGTCACTCAAATTTTGACAAGAACAAGAAGTCATAAACCAATTTTAAAGACTACCACTCCTTTTTAGCTGCTCGGGTTGATGCCTTGAGTCAGATTCATACAATTTAAGATTAGCAAAAACTACAACTCTCATTTGGCCTAATTTTTTCAATGCAAATCAAGTAAAAAAGTAAGCATAATAGGCATGATTACTGAGAATAGATAAAATTGTTGGGTCCACGTGATGAGAAAAATTAAATAAATATTGTAAAACCTTTCCAAATAATGAAATGCAACTATTTAAAAACGGCCGAAAAAGGAAAGAGAACAAGTATTTTTAAAGGGAAGGAATACTCCATAATTATTTTTTATTTTTATTTTTTTTTGAAATAGGAATACTCCATAATTAAAAAAGATTGAAATGGAAACAGAATATGAAATAGCAAAAGGAAAAAAAAAGGGAAAGGAAAAAAATAAAGAGGGCAAAAACGTCAAAGCACACTGCAAGGGCAAAACCCTGAAAGTAGCTTAAACCCTAAATTGTTCATTCCTTCCAATTTCTCGCTTTCCAACCAAACACGACCTCCTTCCCCCAAATTGACTGAGGAACTGTAATTTGATTGCCCAAAATTCAATCTTTTTCCAGAATTCGAAATCCTTGGTAAATAGTTATGTTAATTTATTTGATTTCCCTGTATTAATTGATTAAATTGTTGCTGTAAATTGCTTATTTTGTAACAGGAAAACAATTAATTGTTAAGTAAACTCAAGAATTACAATGGGTCGATTTCGTCATGTAAGAATTCCCACTTATTAATACTACCTTATTAATTGTTTTATTACTATGATTTTTCTGTTATTTATGTATATTTATGAATTGGGATTGTTGGAATAATAGAGGAAGAAGAAAGTTGTTGTAAAGCCAAATGTGAAGAACCAACAACTGCCTACTGTTGATCATGTTACTGGGAAGAAGATACCCCAAAGTTTCGTATTCTCTAGAACTAAGCTTCCTTCGGTTTTACGACAACTCGAAATGGATATGAGGAAATTGATGCTTCCTTACACTGCCCTTAAGCTCAAGGTTTGATTTTTTTGGGCCTGTTTTTCTTTAATTTTGTTGCTGGAATCGTACATGTTATGGAATGTTCTTTGGTTTTAATACCCTTTTTGTTATTTTAGAAATTGTTGGATGGAAATGAATGATATTGGCGATTGATTGACAATTAAGATGTAGTATGCGGCGAAATTATAATGAGAAGTCTTGTTTAAATTTGCTTTGATGATCTTTTATCAAAGCAAATGTTGCATAATAGTTCAATAAAGTTGAGTGTAGAGCTTTCCCTTGATTTAATAAACTTGTTAGAATTTGATGGTTATTAGTGGTTTGAGATTAGCAAATTCCTTCTAATTTATTGAAGACTTTTTAGGGTCTTTATCACTGAATACGAGTATATTGTTTCGTTCTTTCGATAGTTGCCGCCCCTTCCTCAGTAGAAAATAAAGAATCTTTTTAATAATTCATTTGCTTACAATCACTCTTGCATGATTCTCTTTGAGACTTAAAGCTTATTCTGTGGCTGTACATTTGTGTTTTTTAGCTAGTTACACTTGGAAGTGAAAATATCTCAATGCAGGAGAGTAGACCCTTTGATTCTTTGAATAAGACAACTGTTTCTGAAATAAAAAATGTCATTAAGACCTTTGGTTTTTTGACCACTTGATTGGGGCCGTGCTTGTGGCTCCGGCGTTTTATTGTCAGAAATTTCTGCAAAGGCTAATTATGTTTAAGCAAATGCTAGCTATATGATGAGATAGTGATGGGTTCTTAATGGTTTGTTCTGTGATCCAGGAAAAGAAGAGGAACAGTCTCAAGGACTTTTTGAATGTTGCCGGACCTATGGGTGTAACTCATTTCCTTATATTATCAAAAACCCATTCTGGACCATTTTTGAGAATTGCAAAGACCCCACAGGGTCCAACTCTTACATTTAAGATCCATGAATACTCATTGGCTATTGATGTTGCTCGAGCTCAGTTGCGACCTCGATGTCCCCATGATCTATTCAAAAACTCCCCTTTGGTGAGTCTCTGCAATATCTATTTAAATTTTATGTGCTGTTGCTTCCGTTTACTGCACAGAAGTATTATTTTCATGATTGTTAGAATGAAAATATAATAGCTTTTGATTAGTGGATATCTTATGATATTTTTCTTGAAGGACTGTTATGTATGAAAGGGGTTATTTTTCAGTTCTCTTGTAAAAAGTTGAGTAGGATCAAGATGGGTAGTAAGCACATCTGTATAGTTACTAAAAGCATGCAATAAGGGTTGCAGACAATGTGTTACCATGCATATATGTCAGGATGGTACAGTCTATAGATTAGAGGGTCTTCTTTAAAAACTGTTGCTTGAGTTGCTAATAAGTCTCATTAGAATAATAATGAGAATGGATAGAACTTGGGACAAAATCTCAAACTGACTTCTATCTCATAAATGTCAAGGATGGATAAATGGAGCAGGGTAGAGATAAAGATAGGAGAAATAACCTCAGTGGAGGTCCATTAATGCCCCTTTTCTCTGGCACTCACCACCTCCTTTCCTACCTTCAAAGAAGAGAGGAAACAAAACAGGATTACACTGAACCATTTGTGGTGTTATGCTTCAATTCAGGGAGTTTCAGGGAGGAAATATCATGCCATAAAAGTGATAAGCAATTTTTTATTTTTCATGTATTATGCTTGGGCAAGTAAATATTGGAACATAATGCACATCGTCAAAAGGATTCCTGAATCTATCATATCACCAAAGCTTCTAAAATTTGTATTTCCCTTTGTTTACAACATTTAAAAATTATAATTTTATCGTAACTTTTTATGGTGGAGCTTCCTGTTCTACTGGTTGTTGGAACCTGTTGGTTTTGAAAGAAAATGGGAGTTATCTGCTGTCCACTCCGAAGGAAATTGAAGGGGGTTTTCTACGAGAAAGTGGATCCTTTAGGGTGTTTTGAACAAGAGTCTCTTGGCTAGGGAGAGTTTACAAAAGCTAGGGCCTGTGTCCTCCTTTGAAACCGCATCATTAAATTTGTTGCTTTTTCAAGCCAAAAAAGCCAACAAAGGCAGCTAACCATCATGTAGATTCGTTGGCATGTGTGTCAGTATTGGGAACTGGAAAAGTGGAAACCATTGCAAGTAGAGGGGAGAGGAGATGTGAGTGAGATATGAGACTTGTTCACATTCCTTCTTTGTCATGTATCAGGATGTTTATATTCATTGGAGGAAATTTATCTTTTAATTGGGGAGTTGTGGGCCAGCCCCTTTTTTTATGTTGTGAGAAGTTGTGAAGTGCTGATTCTGTGCTCTGTGTGTGTTTTTCTTTCTTTTCATTTTTTCCCCTGACTTCCTCTCTACACATAACTTAAGCTATGCACCTTTCTTCTTTAAAAATGAGTTCTGAGAAGGGTTAGTAAGTTATATTTTACCCAGAAACAGATTAATTCAAGTTCAGTTAAGGGCTAATGAGCTAAAAGTCCACTATGGCACTAAGTTGAAATATTATCTACTTTAGAAATTTTCTAGTGCAAAAAACGTTGTTCTGTTGTAAATGGAGTAACTTCTGTTGCTTCTTTACTAGTTTGGACTGTTAGGGTTTTATTAAGCAGTCTTCAGGTCTTCTGTGTTCAGTTCTTCAATTGTATCTTGATTGTTGTGTAACTAATCTTTATCACCTTGTTTGTATAAATTTGGCAGCTTGTTCTGTCTGGTTTTGGCACGGGAGAGGAGCATTTGACGCTGACAACTAGAATGTTTCAGCACATGTTTCCATCTATTGATGTTAACACAGTAAGAGACTTGATCGCTAGCTCTAAGTATCTTGCTGATTAATGCTATTTTGGACTCATTTTGTTGTTTCCTCTTACAGGTCAAACTTTCTTTATGTCAGAGAATAGTGTTGATTCACTATAATAAAGATACTAAACGTATAGATTTTCGGCATTATTCTATCAGATTACAACCTGTTGGTGTGTCACGTAGACTCAGAAAATTTGTGCAGAACCATCAGGTCCCTGATTTAAGAAACCTGCAGGATGTGAGTGATTTTGTAACAAGGTAATAATAGTCTTCAACTATCTTCCCCTCCTTGCACTTGACTTCTTTCTATGGTAGGGTATCACTAATTCTTGGTAAGTTTTGATTTGATTGTTTGTTTTTACCTAAGTCTTAGGCACTTTGTTTCTGATTTCCAGTTATTGTAATTAATTGTAGTCTTTGTATTATTTGTCTTGTTCCTGGATTTCGGCTACTTTGAATGGTTTCTTATTTGGTTAGTAGTATCTGTGTTTCATAAAATTTCTTTGCCGGAAAAGGAGAGGGGAGGGGGGAGTTTACTATTGAAACAAGGTGAATATTTTTCTTTTGGTGGATGTTGAAAATCAATGTCTTTTTGTTCAATTGATATTAAAATGTATGTGTACGTTAAAATTTCTTGGTTGGGATTCCCACAAACAATGGCTGCTGTTACATCCCGATGGATGATTAAATGTTTACTGGTTCATGAATATGATACTCCCTCCGTTTCACTCTGTTAATTTGACTTAGAATCTTTTCGCGAGACAAATTTGGTCAAAGTAGGAAGAACATATGAAACAGAGGGAGTATGAGTTCAGAAATCCTTGATAGTCTTGAACTTCTTACTTGAAAGTTAACTGTCCTTTGTACATTATGTGCATCCACTTCTGTTTAATGTATTCTGTTTCATTATTGTAGGGCTGGTTATGGATCTGAAAGTGAAGCTGAAGATGAAGCTGCGCATGTTAGCCTTGTGAACGATCTTGGTAGAGTCAACCGTGCATCTACAAAAAGTGCTGTCAAACTTCAAGAGATTGGACCAAGGATGACTCTTGAACTAGTCAAAATTGAGGATGGAATGTGTTCTGGTCAATTGCTTTTCAGTAGTGATGGTAAATACAACTTGTATCTTCTTTTAACCTACTTCGTTATATATTTAAAAGGATCTTGCTAATGAACACCCCTAGGGCGTTGGATAAGCATTTAAAATATTACCTAAAGAGGTATTAATTTATAAAAGCATGACAAAATCACACATCGATTGGTGTAATTAAGATTCATATTAATTTAATCTTTCTACTTTTAGCTTGCTTATCTAACGCCTCTGGGGCTTGTGCTTGTGCTCTGCTAACTTCAATTTTCTAGTTCCATCATCTTATTAATTTTTCTTTCTTCTTTGGATTTAAAATAGGAAATGTTGGTAATAAGAGTTCTCCAGAGGATGAAAATGAGGAGGAAGAAGATGAAGATGAAGAGGAAGACATAGACGAAGAAGAAGATGAAGAAGGTGATGAAGAAGATGAAGAAGGTGATGAAGAAGAATAGGTTGTTGGTAACTATCTCTGAGTTGCGAAGTAGGCTTGAAGATTCAAACTCAACTCGAAAAGGGAATGGCTCATTAATTTGGAAGGCTGGCAGTGTAAGTTTGCCAGCAGCTAAATTTTGCATATTGTTGAGAGGGATTAGGTGTTACATAGCATGGAGTACAACTTACAGAATAGTTAAAATTTTTGCGGTTACTATCGCCTCTGTTTTTGCTGCTACTATGTAACTGGGACTACAGGGGCAGTAAAGGTTGAAAGGTGTTTAAGTTATGTTGTGTAAAATTATCTCCAGTTTTGCATGAATGCAAGTTCATTTTCATTGTGTAAAATTATCTCCAGTTTTGCATGAATGCAAGTTCATTTTCATTGTGTAAAATTATCTCCAGTTTTGCATGAATGCAAGTTCATTTTCATTTAAAAACAACGATTTTTCTGCAAATTACTCAATATACCCTTCATTTTTTTTTTCTACATTTCTATATCTTTATCTCTTCCTCTCCACCTCCGATTCAATCGACAACTGAATTACTGATCTATGTCCTCTTCATCTTGTTAGAATTATACTAGGCCAAATCTTCGTTGTTATGACTACTTATTACAAAATAATACTTCGTCTGCTTTTGCTTATTTGCTTTTGCTTGTTTGAACCGTCCCACATTCATAATGCAAAGACGTCAGAATTTACCTGCGCTCTCCTTGGCTTGGCTATATTAAGTTAGATTCATTAGATTTAAACATGATGTGATTGGTGTTGAACCTAAGAGATAACTCCATTGAAGTGTAAGAAACAACTAACCACCCCACCACACGTACATCTTTAGAAGTAAGCTTGCACTTTCAAAGAACCTGGAACACATTGTTTCTTCCTTTGTTCTTATACATTAGTCATTGAGAGTCAATGAGTTAGGAGGAACCCATAAAATTTATTAAACAACTGTCGGCAATAGGTCTCTTCCTAGTTCCTATAATACATACTCGTAGTAAACAACAACAAAGCCTTTGTCCCAACATACTAATCTTGAAGGTCAGAAATGGTTTGAGAAGAGTTTAAAATCGCAAACCAGCCAGAAATTTGCTAACAAAAATCGGTACATGTTTGCTAGTTAATGTTCTTGAACCAGACAAGCAAGAAACAAGAGGCTTTTGAAGCTGACTGCTGATTCCCATAAAAATGGAATGGTATTGTGGTAAGCTTCCACAGCCAGAGATAATCAACTTCCCTAAACAAATGATGAACAAAAATTTGAGGGCCAATTTTGGTCTGTTATGCTGATTTCTTCAGAATCTCCTCTGATGGAACTTCCAAGGTTGCCCCAGCGTGATCTTTACTTGGTTTCATTTCTGCACCACATAAGTATACCATGTTAAATGATCAAAGAAACGTAAAAAAATGGGTTTAAACTCTTCAACAAAAAATAATAAAAAAAAAATGACATGGACTAAGCGGGGGAAAAAGACAGATTATATCAACGGCTGCAAAAAAGAGGATAACAAACAATCAGGACATACTGTCCTCTGAATATTGAAACAAAGACTACAATTTAATCAATTCCTTTGAACCTCATCAAGAGTAATTCTGAAAAAGCCCAATACCTTATCCTAAAATAACTTAGAAGACAAAAAAACTCATGATAAGATCCTGGGAGTTTTGCTCTAATTACACTTCCTCTCCTTACCCTCACCAAATCCTCTAAAGGGCAATCCCAAGATTACTCATGTAGGTGCAAACAACCTCTGCTGAAAGGTAACTCACCAAATTAGTGGAAATACATGGAAACAAAACTCACTATTAGTATGACAAAGCAACTACATAATTTGGAGAAAGAATCAATCTGGGCCTTAGCTTAAGGAGCATGTCACCACTCACCAGCGTTAATCTCTCATACAGCTCTTACATCTAAGACACTTTTGAAACAACTTCACTAATCAAGAGATCACTGGTTTTAACTAATTAGCATAAATTCTTTCAATCCTTTGCAGCCAAACAGTGAGTAGCTTCAAGACTTCAACAAAGAACATAAGATAGTCGCCGGACAGAGGGAGGGAGTAGTAACACTCATTTTGACGAAGTTAATTGGGACAATCCGTTTAGAATTGAATAATAACTTTCTTCACTCAGTCCTTTGCTTTTCCTCTGTGAGATAGCAGATGTCAATAATCTATAAACTCAAGGCTCCAACAGAACCAGCAGGAGTCAACACACAAGGGTCCCTAATCCTGCCTAAGATCAAAGTTTCCTAGAGGCGTGGGTATAGTAAACAATCCATTATGCTGAAATTTCAGAGATGGTACCATATCAGCCATTCACTCAATTGGTCGTATCCGACTTTATCCTGTAGGACCACATTAGATAGTTATATTTGCCAAAGCAGCAAAAATACCATTCCATTTCACCAAAGAAGCATAAACAAATGTTGATAGAATGATGAGTTAACTATACATTGTGAAAGCTAGTTGAGAGGCGTCTCCAAATAGAGGGAGCTCCAGAAATCAGAATTTTTTTAAAAAAATCCACAATACTTCCTAGTTCCTTAACTTTATGCACCTAACCTATCTCATCCTGCTACTGATAGTCTAAATTCAGTCCTTAATTGCTCAGAGGGTATATCTGTTTCAGCAGGCTTGAAGCTTAGAAGTTCTAATTCAGAATAAAGACAGTCATGAAATTCAAACTCATGAAACTGAATTCAAAGTTGGATTTACTTTCCTCTTTCTGACAGTAGCCTAAATCTGAGTCATGGAGAGAAATTGAGAGGAAAAAAAAAACACATGTTTAATAACCAACCCTAATAAGATCTAATAGTTGGAGCAACTTTTGCATTTATACACTAGTTTGAATATTAGCATCAGAACCACTGAATCCAGGTGTGAGAGAGGTTAAGACCTTATAGGAGAGGGAAGATCAGATGAAGAAAAGGAACAGGTGCTGTTATGTCCTAATTATCAGAGCACCTGACAGTAATCAGTTTTTTCCCTTCAAATCTGAATCATTCCAAACATCTGTGTTCAATATGCGGCTCCCAAAACTTACCAAACAGCTTCAACGTTGCGGAAATATTTTCCAAATTGGCTACTCAGGGTAATAGCTGGTTTATCCAATTTACTAATCAAGTGAATCCTCTAAATAGTCCCTATATGGCTATATTCCATCATTTCTAACTAGATGGCCAGAAAACGCCACATCTGCTAGAATCCGGCTCGATTTAACATCTAAGTGCACGACTAAAAATTCTAAATGAGTAGAGTTAACTTATCAAGAGTCAACTGTGCATCAATATCAAACACAAATAAAAACCAAACAGATGATTACATGAAAGTTTTAAAACCCAGCAAAATGTCAGGGATCTTAGTAGTTCAATAAAATAAATTTCATCAATTGACTAAGCTTTCTACTTCTAAATTGCGTTACACATAGTTTCAACTAAACCCTAAACCCAATACCCATTCAATCGAGCAATCAAAACACGAAAATACAGACTAGAATAGTCAGATTTTCCAATTAGATAGCATTCAAATAGCAGGCATTCAATTAGCATTAGCGGTATTATACACGAATTTTCCAACTTTTTCATTCAGACAATTCATCAAACAGTTGGCAGGCAATCTAATCTCGTCACAAAACTCAATAAATCAGCTTCACCTCTCTCAATTACAAACTTTAAGCATTAACCCATCAATCCAACAAAGCATAAAATCCCAAAAACCATCTGAAAAGGGAAGAATTTCTCCCAACAACACAAAAATCCCAAATAAAAAAGAACAAAATTGGAAAGAAAAGGAATTACCATATCCACCCCGTTCATTGAGCTTGGCTTGGACGATCATGGTGGAGATGAAATGGGAAGCTTCATGAGCTTCATCAACGAGTCTCTGAATATCTTCTTTGGAATTGACGTTTTTGTTCTCTTCAAATTTGGAGCGAACTTCCATGGCAGAAGCATTAAGCATCTGGGTATCTCCTGCAAATGATTTTCGAGTTGCCTTCAAAATTTCTCTGTAGACTTTGAGCACCTCCGTTCTCATCATCTCTCCCAGTTTTTTTCTGAAACTTTGATCGTTGATTTCTTGGTTTTGCGATTGAAGGAGACGAACAGTGTTAGAAGGTCGATTGGAGATTAGGAGGTCCGGCAAAATTAAGTCAAATCGAATGATCCGGTTAACGGGTTAAGGCTCGAAATGTGACCCGTTAATAATTGACATAGTTTGGTTAAGGCTCGAAAAGTGACTATAGAGATGTCAATTTGAATAATTGAATCGGGTCTGATTAGGTCGGGTCAGGTCAATTTTTAAAATTGCGTCATGCTAAATTATTGTATACACACGAGTTCAAATTTAAATTGGATATCTTTTGGGTCGGTTTCGAATCGGATCGGATCGAGTGTAGTTTTGACACCTCATTTAAATGTGACCCATTAATAATTAACATAGTTGATCAAACCCATCACACTTGTCAACATATGATTTGTACAAATTATAAGCTAAACGGTTAATATATGAAAATATACCTTAATAAAAAAATGATACTACGTATTAAGCAAATAGTTATTAATACTAATTTGACAATGTTTTTAAATAGTATTTCCTCCGTTTCTTTTTAGTTGACATGTTTTTTTAGTCACGTTTGTCAATAAAAAAATTCAATCATTAGGGCCTGTTTACATTTACTGAAGTGAGCTGAACTGAACTGAATTGAACTAATTGGAGCTAAGCTGAACTGAACTGATTGGAGCTGAACTGAACTGAATTGAACTAATTGGAGCTAAGCTGAACTGAACTGATTGGAGCTGAACTGAACTGAATTGAACTAATTGGAGCTGAACTGAACTGAAATAAATATTTTATGAGAGAAGGAAATTAGAAATTGAATTAAATTGGATTGAAATGAACTGAACTGATTGGAGCTGAATTGAACTGAAATTAAATTGAAGTGAAGAAGCCCTTAACATCTTTAATTACCGATAAACAAAAATTATGAAAAGTTGATATTTAGAATATATTGTGACAAATCTAACAAGATTACACACGACTATATTTTTCATTACATATAAAGCACAAACGCGGTCAAAAGGGACTGAGTGAATAGTGCTAAAGTCAAAATGTGTCAACTAAAAAATGAAGGTAGTACTTTGTAACCTTTGAGTTTTTTTATACTTCAATCGCCCCATTATACTTGCAACACTAGAGTTTTACGCCAATGTACAAAGTCTTACATGATTATTATTTTAGTTCTGTTTGAGTTTAGTCCATGTCCTAAGCTCAAGGTACCTAGAATGGCGAAAATACCTGACAGGCTCAAGTTGTATTCACCTAATAAAAAATAAAACCTAAATCCACTAACTATGTAAATAGGGAAGAAGGGTCGAACCAAAGGGAAACAAGTCAATTTATTCCAGGGCAAAACATAATAATCAATTATCAATGCATCAATTAATCGGATCATAAAGGGCTTTCGCTACGTATTACAATCACACAATTAATCTACCGGTATTAAATCTCATCTCTCGAATCTTGACTTCACCATTTATAAATTAACCTGCCTATTGAAACTAGACCTAAACATCAATTCTCATCTCTCGAATCTCGAATCAATATTGTCAAACTCATGCATAAAAGATCAGGCTTAATCTAATCACAGAGCATTAAACCAATCAATAGGAAATTAATCTAGCATTAACAATCAAAAACAATAAATTACCCCTTCATATTATTTATGGATCCCTAAATACCCTAGAAAAAAAACTACTGACACATAATTAAATCTAAACTAATCAAAGTAATTAAAGAAAGCATGATAAAGAGCAAGAATTAAGAGAAAGAGAATAATAGTATTAAAGTAAAAAGAAAACAAGATAATAAATCTTGATGTGAAAAATAGAGAAGAAAAGAAAAATAAACTAAAAGAAAAGAGAATAAAAAAACTACCTAATCTAACGCTTGTCCTACGTACTACTACTACTCCACTTAAATAGGAAAAGAAAAAGAAGTTTAACATCAAGTCAACTTTTAATCTACTCCCACTAAAACAAGGAAATAAAATCCTAACATAATTAAAACTAAAGAATTCACTCTTTTAAGGCCTATGTACTACTAATTCCTATTCACTACATCCTCCTTTGGCTAGTAATACCTACCCCCCTGAAATTACTGAAAAACCCTCCCCCCACTAACCACACCCCACTAACTACAGTAAAACCATTAACCTTACCACATGCAGTTACTGTGCAATAACCATACACTTCCCACGGTAACTGCAAGTAAATGCAACTTCCCACCCAAAAAAATCATATATATACGAATTAAAAAAAAAAAAAATTCAAAAAGCTGATCAAATTCTACACTCTTCTTCATTTTCTCTCTCCATTTTCTCTCTCATGAAACGAATGAACAAGCAAAATTCATACTAATTTCTGCACTTTCTTACAATCGATCAACAATGAGTACTCTACAAGAAGAACATGCATTACAAAAATCTACTGAAAAATCAGAATCGTAAGTATTTGAGCAATTTTTTGCAATTAAACCCTAATTTTTTGAAATTTTGTTCAATTGCAAGTTTATTTGTTTAGTTTTTTGGTAGAACACAAAAGGAAGATCCAAAAGACGACAAAGAAGATCCTGAAGCTTTGTAAGTGAACAATTTTAAGAATTAAACACTTAATTTTTTAAGATTTTGTTCAAAAAAAAGTGAGAAAAGTACTAATTTGTATATTGTGTTTTGCAGAAAACAAAAGCAGGACGAGCAACCAGAAAACAAAGATCCTCTGGTTGATCCTAAACTTTTGCAAGACATAATATCGTCCAGTGGTCCTCCTGAAAAAGAAATGTCTTCAATTCCAAGGTATAATGATCAATTATGAATTACTAAATGTTCATATACCTGTTTGAAGTTGTACATTTGAATGTTGATTTTTAATTACATAAATATACATGTTTGTACTTGCACATTTATACATATATAAATGTTCATTTTACTGCAAAACTATGAACATGTACATATTCATTTATGAAAACATATATACAATTGTACATTTTATTGTAAAATTATGAACAAATATATTAATATGATACTTTTTTCCTATTAAAATGCAAATCACTGTAATTAAGAAAAATGAACATTTATATTTTATAAAATGATCAATTACAATTTGTGTTGTAAAACTAAATAAATATGCATGCAAACTGATATATTGATGGTAACTTTTGATATTGTAGTGTTGAACCATGTAAAGTGAAACACATGATGAAATTTAGATATGGAAATTCTGAACCTAAAATTGAACAAGAGATTATGCAGCCAATTATTTCCAATGAAATAAAAGAAGACCATAGTAGTTGGTGGGAACCATATATTGATAGAAAAATGTTAGTCCCCAAGTAAGTTAATTTATGTAATTTATTTATTTCCATAACTAATTGTATACATGTCAGTTTTCTGAAATAATTCTTAAAATTCTAGTGAGAAAAAAAAGATCAAGGTAACTTTTATAATGTCAAAATCAAGGCCAGAGACAAATCAACTAATAAGGTATCAAATTTTAATACTATTTTTAAAATTTAACATGTAAAATATAACCATTGTTTTCAAGTACATTTTCTATTTCAAACAATTTTAATTAAACAATTGGACTTAAAAACAATGCAGAGAAACAAATCAAGAGATGTCAACTACTGTTGATAAATCACAGCAAAGGTAAATGTTCATTTTAAAATCATTAAATAATCATTTACATAAATACAAATGATTGATTTTATACTGTTACAATTTTTTGCCTTTTAGTGATGAAGAAAAGAAAGAACAAACTACTATGGCTCATGATGTAGAAAAACCCATGAACAAGGAGTAAATATGCATAGAATAATAATTGTTCATTAACACTATATAATATAAACATTTTCATTATTATTTACATTGACATATATAAATAAACTAATTTCAGAGATTCATCAGTCAGTGTACACAGTACTCCTGAAGTACAACAAAAAACAATACAGAGGTATACATTCTACAACATCATAATCAACTGTTTCAATTTTTATGCTGTTTGTATTCTAATATTTTTAGAATTATATGAAAATAATACAGCAAAATGGAAGCAATGCAACATGATGCAAGAAAAAATCAAAAATTTGCAAAAACAACTCTGAAAATTCTTCAAAAGCTGCAGAAGAAGAATCTGATGTTAAAATCAACAAAAAAGAAAAAAGAAAAAGTTGATGATGAGAAGAAATCAATTGAGGAAGGTAAACCTGTAGAGAAGCTGTCAAAAGAGGAAGGTGAAGGAAAAAAACCTATTGAAGGTAAATGCTCAAACATAACAAGTAAATTGAACATTTGTGCGGGATTGTTTATTTGTCTATTTTTAATGTGTGAACATGTATCTATTGTAGGAGATGAACAAAAGGATTCAGAAGATATTCCAAAGAGCCAGAGCCATGAAAAGGAAAATCTTAAAGATACTCAAGGTAAAATGCTCATCTTTATTATATAAACTGATCAATGATATCTCATAAAATGAACATATTATCTGTTTTGACATAAATGTTCATTTAATATTCTGTATGTGATCATTTGACATAACTATTAAATTACATGGTAAAATAAATGCAGCAAAGAAAATATTGGATGATTTCATTATTGAGGATGAGACTGACCTCATTGATGAAGATACGGAATCAGACAGTCTTGATGCTTCAATTGATCCTAGTGAAGGGTCAACAAAGAAGAAAAAATATTTTAAAATGGTTGCAAGAAGAGTGGGAAAAAGAATTCCCCTTTGGTAGAAGAGCTGTCAATTGGTAGAGTTACAAGAAGAAAAAATAAAGGTATATATATTTTATATAAATTTGTAGACATAAAATGTTTTAGAAATGTCATTATCTAATTGACATTATCTAAATTTTGCAAATGTCCTATCTCAAGCTTCACAATCAGAACCTGCTGTCAAAGAAATTTCACCAAAACAAAAACAGACACCTGCTCTTGCTGAAGCAAAACAATCTGGAACTCCTGCAAAAGGTGATAAAATGCACATTTTATTATCTATATAAATAAAGAACATTTTTCTTTTTGAAAATGAACATTATGTTTTAAAAAAATGATCATTTATATTATTATTTTTATGTAGGAGGAAAAAGGACAACTGCTGCAGATATTAATCCCATTCAAAAGAAACCAGGTGCTCCTGCTGAAAAAATAGTTAAAAAAGGTAAATATTCAATATGTTTTATATCATAATAATTTACTTTTTGAAAATGAACATTTTAATATCTAAATAAATAAAGAACATTTTTCTTTTTGAAAATGAACATTTTGTTTTAAAAAAATGAACATTTATGTTATTTTTATGTAGGAGGAAAAAAGACAACTACTGCAGATATTAGTCCTATTCAAAAGATACCAGGTGCTCCAGCTGAAAAAATAGTTAAAAAAAGGTAAATATTCAATATGTTTTATATCAAAATAATTTACTTTTTGAAAATGAACATTTTAATATCTAAATAAATAAAGAACATTTTTCTTTTTGAAAATGAACATTTTGTTGTAAAAAATGAACATTTTGTTTTAAAAAAATGATCATTTATGTTATTTTATGTAGGAGGAAAAAGGACAACTGCTGCAGATATTAGTCCTATTCAAAAGAAACCAGGTGCTCCTGCTGAAAAAGCTGTTCAATCAGGAAAAAAGAGGTCTGCTCCCACACCAGCAGGAGGAATAAAGAAAATGGCTAAGAAATCTGGTATAATCATGATATTTATTAATGTTCATTTGCAAAAAACTTAATGATCATATATAGTAAAAGTTCATATTTATTTATTTAGATAAATTTAATTTATTAAAGTTCATTTTCAATAACTTAAATGTTCATAGTTAATGACTTTTATATTCATTTTCAGTTGTCAGCCCTGCAAAGAAGATTTCTGGGAAGAGGAAAAAAATAGAGGAAGTTCCATCTGACGAACCATCTCAGGATCCTTCTGATGAAGATTCCACTGACAGTGGTGATGACAGTGAAACAAAGCTGAAACAAAGCTGAAACAGAGCTTATTGATGATGAAGATGATGAATTGGAGGAGGAAGAGGAGGAGGAGGAAGTTGAAGTAAAATCAAAGAAGAAAAAGGTAATGAAAAAGGGGCCAAAGAAAGTTAAGGCAGAAACTGAGAAGGAGGAGAAAAAGTTAGTAGTGTATAATCAACAGAAGAGCGAAGAAAGAGGGAGAAAAAAGATGAAAACAGAAATAGTTTTGGCAGGTGAAATTGATGAGATTGAGGAAATTCAGGAAGAGGAGTTTGAGGAAGAAAGATCATCAAAAAGGGGGGGGGGCATGTCAAGTTCATAGCATGGGTAAATAAGATGACAAAAACCGAAAAACAAGAAATTGTTGATATAGGTTTAGGATCACTTCTTGAAATAAATTTACCACAACTTGATCAAAAGTTCTGTAACTGGGTATTGGATAGTTTTGAAGAGAATAGTCAGAATTTTGAATTGCCAAAGAATGAAAAATTCAAGTTGAGGTAGAGGATGTGAGGGTAGTTTATGGATTGTCTACGGGAGAAATTCCAATTGTTAAGGCAAAGTCTGATAAAGCTAGTGAATAATATGCAGAATTTCTGAAGAAATGGAGAAAGTCATGGGGAGAAAAGACTCCATCAGTGAGTCGGGTATAATCACTTACTTTCTTTAAATGTTCATTTTAAATACACCAAATGATCATTAATAGTAATTGTCTTGTTCATTTGCTTCACAGATTGTGAATGGATACATACATGACAAATTCAAGAACAACAGACCACCAAGTGAACATTTCATAACCAATTTTTTAGCAGTTGCTGTGAACTGCATGATAAAGTGCATATCAAACAATCAACGTCATTTCAAGTTTCTTTTTTCAATGATGGAAAAAGAAAGAATAAGAAATTTAAATTGGTGTTAGTATGTCTTTGATTCACTAATAAAGAGTCATGTTGATTGGAGAAAGCAGAATGGAAAGGGGTTCTACAAAGGCCCTCTGCAATTTCTGATGGTAATATATGGTTTTATAAAATGTTCATTTATAATATGTAAAATGATCATTCATTTTATGATTATGTTCATTTGTATTTTCATTGATGTACATTTTCTATTTTGTCTTGTAGCTGTTTTACTTTGATAGGGTTCAAAGGTTGGACAAACGACCTCCAAGAACATTCCCCATTATATCTGTTTGGAAAAGAGACATGGTTCTTGAGAGATTGAAAATAGAGTATGAACTGGGGTTTGGTAGAGGTAAAATCTTACCTAGAATTGCTGTAAAAGTGGAAGAAAGTCCAGAGGTTAGGAAAATGATCAATAATAATGACATAAATGTTCAGTTTATTTATAATAAATTTATTTTAATAATTCTTATAATTTGATTTGCAATATAGGTTTTCTTGAATGATTTTGTTAGCCTAGTGAAAGAGACTAATACAAACCTTTCAAGACTTTCAGGAAAATTGATGAAGGCAAAGGAAATATTTCCAGAAGATCATTTGGTGAAAAAAGTTGATGAAATTTTAGGAAGAATGGCTACAAGGGAGCAATCAATCCTAAGCCAAGATGAAGAGTTCTATGAATCAGAGGAGTTCTTGAATGCAATTGCTCAAATAGAAAAAGATCTCATGGAAGCAGCTGATTTGAACAAAACTAGAAACTGGAAAAAGCAGGATTATGATGTACGAAAAGCATTTGCCTTCCATTTAACTCCACCGTCTCCAGCGACTGGTAAATACAAATTATATTCTTTTTTAAGCATCATGTCATCACTTTTAATTTAACAACTTTGTTTAACTAACAAAATTTAATTCAAAACAGGAACAGGTCCTAGTTCTTCAACACAGGCCTTTATTCTTGAACCCCAAATGCAAACAGTTTCAGGATCAACTGGAAAGGCTAATGAAGGAACATCTGCTATAGGTTCAATATGTTCATACTTAATAATCATAGTATTCATTTTCAATATTTGAATGTCTAAAATAAATTGATCATATTACAGATAAAAGAAATGTAGCCCCTGCTACAACAGCAGCTGAAAAGACTATTGAAGAAAGTTCAGCTTCAGGTAAAAGATGTTCATATATAATGAATATAATGATCATTTACAAGTATATTTCATTATAATTGTTTATTTTCAATAATTGAATTTTAAAAATAAATTAAACATATTTTACAGAACAAAGAAAAGTAGCCTCTGCTATAGAACCAGTTGAAAAGGCTAATGAAGGAAGTTCAACCTCAGGTATAAGATGGTGTAGGCGTCGTTTGAAGTGCGCCTACGTAAAAAGCATGTGTGAATATGCTTGGCACTCATAGGAAGTGGGAATTGACATAATACGATTAGGGACAAGGAAAGTAGGGAGCCGCCAAAAAGTTTATAAGGAACTTGTAAACCGTTCACGGATCGTAAAAAGGCAACCATGAATAAGGGACAACAAAGGCAACAACGATTGACCCGTGAAGGTTACACCCTATTCATAATTCATGAGATTACTAACTCCATATGGTTCGGAACCACGAAAGGAGTATCGGGGATGATGGTACGAAGTGAGTCATGGAGTCACATTCGCCCGTATTGGCCTCTACTCGATTCTTATAGTGAAAAACATTCTTGCAATCTCAAAGGCATACAAACAAAATATTCAATTTGCTCAAAACTATTATTAGGCTAAATTGGTTGAATATTAATGCACACATAATTCTAAAATATTGGTGATCACTTCAATTAATAATAAGATTAAAAGGATCCTAAACCGGTTGTCCAAATTATCTTATTAGGCGTGATTTCAATTACATATTCCTTTTAAACATGCAATATGGTGATCAATAAATATAATAGAACAAACATTAATATTGGAAGCAATTTAGCAATAATAACGTGAATCAAATTAAATAATAATAATAATAACCCTAATCATGATACTAGCAATATTAAAAATAAGAGTAATTAAATTAATTAATTACTCACATTCTGCGCGTTCCTTTGAATTGCTACATCATGAATAAACTGTTAGTAACTTCAATGAAAATACAAAGTAAATGAAAATTAAATTAAATAAAAAGTAGAGTTGATTTGGTCCAAACCCTCAGTTATTTGTACCTTTCACACCTTGGTTTAAGGACGGAACCTCGGGTTAAGTATAGACTCCTTGGAGTGCTTAGGGGAATTATTATGGAAGAATAAGGAGGCTAGAAATTAGGTTAAAGAGGGAGAAGAGAATGATTTTTGGTGTAAGGTGAGAGAGAATGATTATTGGTGCCCCGAACTGCAGAAAAGAGGGGGGTATTTATAGGGAAAATGAGCAGAGGGAACACACGGAACCCTAAAAAGATAAAAACCCTAAAAAAGGCTACCGCGACACGGTAGATTCTACCACGACACGGCAGATTCTACCGTGTCACGGGGGAAATTAGCGTGAAGCGGGGAAAAATAGAGTGACGCGGGAAATATTTGACCTACGGGAGTAAAAACGCGTGAAGGGATTACGCGGAAAATACACGGAGTTGTCCCGTGTCACAGCACTGGCACCGTGACACGGGAATTCCTACCGTGACACGACAGTAATTCCCGTGTCGCGGCACAGTTCCCCATGACGCGGGGAAGTTTTAAGCACCGTGACACGTCAGCAACCCACCGTGACACGGCAGAAAACGCCGTGACGCGCCAAAGTCCACCGTGTCACGGCATATGGCGCCGGGTCACGGTACTTATGCCAAGTCACGGGGTACTTATGCTGCGCGGTATTTCCAGTTTTTTACGTGTTTTTTAAAATCATCATAACTTTTGATCTGTAACTCGGAATAAAGCATATAATATATCATTGGAAAGCTTATCAACCTAATTAGAATTAAGTCAAAATAATTTGTAGATTTTAAGATATGGCCGTTTTAGTAGAAGGGTGTCGGTTTTGGGCCGAGTTTAATGTTTTGCTCATATCTTTTTCGTTATAGCTCGGAATTGGGCTTATGATATATGGTTGGAAAGCTTATTTAAAGGCCTATCCAACAAAATAATAATTGGATCAAAATTTTATAGCCATAAAATCAGTTTCTCTCAGTTTTGCGACGTGGACACGAAAAGTGGAAAATAGGTTATGGTTTAGGGAAATGAGCTAGAAATTGGATTGGCTCATGAAATATATTGGATAGAACATGCACTCCAAAGATTAAATACTCAACTCGACCAATAATGGCGGTGAAAGGTGTTCATCAACGGGTTTGGTTTTGGGGAGACATTTTTAGGTGTCTACAGATGGTCATATAAAATAAGTATAATGATCATTTACAAATACAAGAAATTGTTTATTTTCACATAATTAAAAGTGTTATTTTTTTAGGTGATCCAAAGAAGGGTTATTCTACAGTTCCTCCTGATGATATTGATTTGAAATTGAGCATAGGAGGAAAGAATGAAGATGTATTGGAAAAAGACAAACAAGGAGGACAGGGGTAATATGAAAAACCTCACCAAACTTTCAAGATGTATTAAGTGGATATGTATATTTAAAACAATCTAAATATTTAATAAGTAAGCACAATGTTTTATTTTAGGGATGAAGAAGTAGTGTTTATTTTGCTAAGAACAATTTGTGTTATGGTAATTTATTTTGCTAAGAACAATTAGTATTATGTATAATTCTTATATTTAAATTATGTAATTAAAGTTTTTAACTTTTCCAATATCAGAATGTTTAAGTATGGAATATATTTTCTAACAATATGTAACTTCAACGTGAAAATGAACATTTTGTTTTAAAAAAATGAACATTTTGTTTTTAAAAAAATGATCATTTATGTTATTTTATGTAGGAGGAAAAAGGACAACTTCTGCAGATATTAGTCCTATTCAAAAGAAACCAGGTGCTCCTGCTGAAAAAGTTGTTCAATCAGAAAAAAAGAGGTCTGCTCCCACACCAAGAGGAACAAAGAAAATTGCTAAGAAATCTGGTATAATCATGATCTTTATTAATGTTCATTTGCAAAAAATTTAATGATCATATATAGTAAAAGTTCATATT